TATATATATATATATATATATATATATATATATATATATATATATGGCTCCTGAAAAATTAATTTCAGTTGAGCTGTCTGGGGAAGAGGTGTGGTTTGTAAACAGTGACTATTATAGCTAATATAGTGAGACTTTTCGCAAAAAGCGAATTGAGTCACTGTCGGTCACTGTGTGTTTCTAAAAATAAATACGTTAAAATTAATCTTAAATCCTGCCGTGTGCCGACGGCTTAGTGGTAGAATCTCCGACTGACGCCAATTTAGTCGGGTTCAGCTAGAACCAACCGGATGTCTAGCTACACTGATGCGCTGCGACACAGTCTGTCTGTAGATGACTTTGTATATATATATATATATATATAACCGAGTAGATAATGGGTGTATACAGAATGAATTCCAACAAGTACTATTCTTTAAAGAGTGCTCAATACAAAGTAGAGCAGATATAATTATTACTTTTATAAAAAAAAAAAAAATTATAACATAAATATGTTATAAAATCACTACAAAAATAGCCATTTTGTTTCAACACCCTCGGTATTTTATCAAGTGATGATGTTGAAGATAAATTAAATGCTTTTAAAAGTTTCAAATTAATTAACGATCTTTCGCTAGGGGAAAACATTGTTACAAAAGCTAGAATAACCAATCAAAACCCAAGTATAGAAAGATTCAAAAGCTTGACAACGAAATCATCTTATAATAGCTATTCAGATCTTTAAAATACGTGTAATATTAAAAAAGAATTTATTCTAACATATAATTATTAAATTATATGATAAAATGTGATATTAAAATTAAAAACTGCCAATTTTAAAATCCAAATTTAATCACTATTAAGTTTAAAAACTACAAAATTACTGAGGAGAAAAGAAAAAATACATATGTTATTCAATTTATTTCTTCGTTGAAATTACGTTAGAACAGACGCTACAATATCCGGTCATACGACAATACATGTATATATATTTTAATCCCAAGTGTGTGAATGGGGTCTTAAACTCACGCGCAAAACAACAAAAACACAATCAGATTATAATACATAAGCACCCAGACATATTTAGATATATATACACACAAAAAAAGCGACGAGAAAGGAACATCTCCACAGCCATTTATGAAAAAAGGAAACGGGGAAACCAACACCTACACACACACACACAATTAAAAGTGAATGCAC